TTTTCCCCCAGTTCCCTCAGTGAGCTCCTGTGATCCAATGGGAAAGGAGCTTCAGTGGGATGGACCTTGCTGAGATGTTCCCTGACAGCCCTGCATGATCCCATCTCTCTGCTTCCAACCAGGCTACACTGGAGCTTGCACTGGGTTCCCTCAGCCTCCTCCAGGCCCATTCAGATCCCATGGAAAGGGACACCCTTGCCTGGGTGTGCTGCCTCTGCTGGTGTCTGCCCAAAGGATCCAAATGTTGTTCCTTGCTTTGCTGTGTTTGTACTGCTCCTGGTGGAGTCTCGCAAGGGTTGAGTCTGTCTCCCCTCCCTTCAAGAAGAGCAAAATCATGGTTCTTATCCAACAGCAAGTTCAAAATCCATCCCACAGACTCAGAAAAGGCTGGGTGTTCAATTAGCCATGGTTGGTTAATTGACAAGTGTGGTAGCTTAAACAATTCCCTACAACACCCAATACACAAATGAACATTTCCTCCCTCCCGTGACATCCCACAGGCCAGGTCTGGAGGTATTGCTCCCTTGTACACACACATTCCCTGGGCAGGCAGCTGCAGACCTTCCCGCTGCTCCGAATTGTCCAAAGGGTCCCCGCACTCCTCCCGCACCGGCAGCTCAGGAAACCAGGTCTTCCTCCTGCATGTACCAACATGAGCCTGAGATAATAAACGAGGCCTAGAAGAAGAGAGAAATCATCAGGGCTGTTAATTTGACACCAACTCTTTTGATCTCCTCTTCAGATCATAAGGGAAGGGTAAGTGTGCTTCCTTTTAATCTTCACTCCCGCACTTTAAAGGCCTCAATAATGTTCCCACCAACCAGATCATTTTCATTTGCAACTCTAATTAATCTGTGAATAAATATGCTTCGGAGAGGTGGATTGATTTAAATGAGGGCTGTCTTTTCACCTTTAATCTATAATGCTGCATTTCTCTCTCTTGAGAAAATAGCTCCTAGCTTGCACTCTCTGCCTTTCTCCCCAAGTTCATGCAAGGCTCTTTCTCCTCTTTTTTATTATTATAAAATAATGGCTTCAGCAGGTGAATAAAAGGTTAGGCAAGTTTGACAAAAATGGGAAGCTATTCACCCTTGCTACCTTTAATCTACTGCATTCTCCTCCTAATGAGTGTAAATTACCCAAGCCATTTCACAGAGCCTTTCTCTGGCATAATACCTCTGGCAGCCCATTCTCACAAGGGCGGGTTTGTATTATTAGTAGCAGTATTATCTTTAATCTTTTGTGGTGTGAAGAATGAGGACAACACTCGGATCCACACCAGGCAGTGGGAGCCAGGCCCAGGGTAACTGGGCTGTGTGAAGGAATGGGTCCTCCAGCAGGAGGGTCTGGCACCCTCAGAGGATGGAAACCCACCAAAAAAATGTCCAGCCTTGCAAAGCTTGTCTGGAGTTTTCACTATGAGCCTTTAGTGGCTTCAGCCTCAAAACCCATCCAGCTCCACAGAGAAATGGGCCAGACAATTCCCATCACTGATGTGAACAGTCCTTAGAGGGTCCCACTTTGGGAAAGTGATGGATCTGGGAGGTGCTGGAGTGTCTCACTTAGAGGGATGTTGGGGAGTGACCCTTGGTGGAACTGAAGGAGCATCCTGGAGTCATTTAGGCTGGAAAACCACTCTAAGAACATTGAGTCCAACCAGGCCCATCACTAAACCCTTCCCCCAAGCACATCCACACATTTTTTGGACTCTTCTGGGCACGAAATAACAAGCTCTGGGGACATAAGGGATGAAGAAGAAATCTAATGTAAAGCATCCCCTACAAACTCTGAGAAACCCCAAATGAAGAGGAGGTCTCAGAGGAAATCTTTCAATGTCCATCTCAAATTACTGGTAATTACTCAATTACCAGTTACTGAGAAGAAATCAAGAGTCACATGCCAAGGAGAACCTCAGGAGGAGTCTCACATCTTCACTGATGATCTGGAGAAGGCATTTACAACACTTCTCCTGAGGTACTCGAGTCTAATCAGAAGAAGATATGAAGGAAAAGGGTCTACAACATACAGGATATGGGCAGGAAAAGCACAAGGTTGGGATCAAACATCCTCATCCCCAGAGGGAAGAGCAGCCTTGGAGGTCACACAGAGCGCAGGGACTGAGGCAGGTGAGCACTGTGTTAAACTGCACTTGTAGTGAAACAAGGAAACAAACAGACAATCCAGAAGAAATCAAGGAACAGACAATCCTCAAGTGGTCAAGATGACTTGAGGAATTGCCTAAGAGGCCACAGCAGGAAGTAGGATGAGAGCATTTGCTGCTTCACAGTGATGTGAGAAGTACTGGGAACAAAGTGGGAGCGTTACCACTTTTCCATGGAAATCCCTACATCCACTGGCCCTGCCAGATCCTTGGAGCCCAGTGATCAGCATCAAGCCACATCCCTCACTGGCAAGAACTGATGCCACCCCTCAGCATCCATGGGCATCACCATCCCCTGCCAGCTGGGACGCAGGACAAGGAGGGCTGGATATGGCTGGGGAGCAGCACCAACCTGGGAAACTCCCCTCTCCTAAACTTGGCCAGTGCTCTGAGCAAGAAATGGGAGTTTCCACTTGGTCCGGGATAATAAAATATCAAAAAAATCCTCATGGAGCAGCATGAAAATCTTGGCTTTGCTTCAAGCAGTAGCTGGGCCATTGAGGAGCCCAGGCTGTTGCTGAGGCTTCCATCATTCCTCTCATCTCCGCTGGTTCAGGTCCCCATTACTTCGCTTATATTATACGTCTTGCTTTTATTTTTTACATTTGCCACTTGTGATTATTATTCTGCAGCCTAAGAATGCCTGATATTCAGAGGCCCTTTGTTTCACTCTCATTATGCACACATATATGTTCAAGGTCGCCAGTTAGTCTATTATTCAAGTGGGCACTTTTTTTTTTCCTGTTTCATCCCCCCCTCTCCCCAAAGAGGCTCGGTTCAAGGTCTCGCATTCTCCGCTTTCTCCCTTAAGTTTTACCATTTCTCTTCCTTAGAAAAACATTTTCCCTTGCCTCACGTTCTCCAGTAGCTTCCATTCCATTCAACCCCTGCTAATATATATATCAAAAAGCAGCCCAGGGCAGACCCCACGCCAGCTGCTGCTGTTGTTTTAAAAGAATCAAAGCAAGCTCTTTATTTCCTTCCACTCTTCAACAATTGCTTGAGTTGCAAACTTCAGTACAGAGCATTCTTGGAGGTGCCCAGGAGATTTCCAGAGCATTTACAGCAGTCCAGACAAAATCCCAGGCTGCTCCCTGAGGATTTGGGTGATCACCACAATGGAACACGCTCATTCCTGCCATCAGATACGAAGTTTGGCTGCACTGTTGTTGTCTTGCTTGCAACAAAAGGTGAGCCAGCAAGGAATCACCCAGCAAGCTCATGTTTAATTTTGGATGAACAAGGAAAATATTATTTTAGCCCCCACAAACCTATTTGTTTGTCAATGACACCTCCCTCAGCAAATCTCCCTGTACTATCAGTCATCTCTTATTATCCAGGTGTATTTATATATGTGCAGGAAAAAAAAAAAAAATGGAAATGCTTTCTGAGCCCTTCAAGGAGGAGCCTCACAGCACCCATTCCCGTGAGTGAGGTGCAGCTGTGACTCCACAGGGTTGCACTTTGAGACAACCATCGAAATGAGGAAATTCAGGCTGTTCCACTTGGGATGGGACTCGCCAGAGTCCTCTGTGAGGTACCAAGGAGGAAACTGCACTTTTGTAGTGCAGGATAAAGCTCTTGCCCCAGGGAGAGGAGCCAGTTTGGGAAGGAGGTGCCTTCCCCAGGATGGACACTGCAGCTGCTGGGGCTCTGTGCTGCTCCATCAGTGGCACAGCCTGGCTGGGAATCACAGACACATCCAAAGAAAAGCTGTCAGGGAATGAAAATGTGGGCAAAGAGTTAATGGGGGCCAGTTGCACCTCTATCAGCAATCACAGAATCATGGAAAGGTTTGGGCTGAGAGGGACCTTAAAGCCCATCCAGTCCCACCCCCTGCCACGGCAGGGACACTTCCACTTTGCCAGGTTGCTTCAAGATCCATCAAAGCTGGCCTGGAACACTTCCAGGGATCCAGGGGCAGCCACAGCTTCTTTGGGCACCCTGTACCAGGGCCTCAGCATCCTCACAGGGAAGGATTTCTTCCCAATATCCCATATAATTAACATTCCTCTAGCAGTAGGAAGGCATTCCCCATTGGCCTGGCACTCCAGGCCCTTGGAAATTGCCTCTCTTCATAGTTTCTGTTGATTTCTTCAGACACTGGAAGGCCACAATGGGGTTACCTGGACATTCTCCTCTCCAGGCTGAACAACCCCAGCAGTGCCAGCCTTCCCTCCCAGCAGAGCTGCTCCATCCCTCTGCTCACCCTGGTGCCTCCTCTGGACTCTGTCCAGCAGCTCCAGCTCCTTCCTGTGCTGGGCCCCAGGGCTGGGGCAGCTCTGCAGCTGGGCTCTCACCTGAGCAGGGCACAGGGGCACAATCCCAATCCCTTCCCTGCTGCCCACGCTGGGGATCAGCCCTGGATACCCTGGGGTGGGGGCATGGAGAAGATCCCAGACCATGGGGAAGATGTGCAGAGGACACCCTGTATTTGTAAAGTTTTTACACCATTTCCTTTCCTCAGGCTCAGCCCCACAGAACAGCTGTGTCACCTTTGTGGCACATCACCCAGAGAGCCAAATTTCATTTTCCGTGGGGTCACCACGAGCACTTTCTGAACACTGGGGACTTTACTGAAGTCACGGAAGCAGGAGATGAAGTTTCTTGGCACATGGCTCCACATGACACAAGGCCAAGACAAGGAATACTCTGCCATTCTTTATGCACATGGATTTTTTTTTTTTCCATTTAGGAGTAAAAAGAATTCATCTCCCATCCTCTACACCACAACATATCTCAAGGCCCTCACGCCCCAGGTTACCCTCCCCACTTGTTTTATTTATAATCCACTCTGCCCCCTCTTTCTCTTCTTTTTCTGCTTTATATTTTTCTTAAATATATTTTATTTTTTTGTTTGCCAGGCTCAGTCGCAGCACAAGGACATGGGGAAAGACATTCTTTCAATTCTTCGGGCATTGTGGCTGCCTGAAATGGGAAACAAGACAAAGCCAGAGAAGAAAAGCTTATTATGGGCAGCCTAGTTGGAAGAAAATGAATCACCCAAACAGATAGGTTTCAATGATCTCAGGCGAACTCCACTCTTTATTCCACACACCCGCGTCTAATTGTTCCAGAAAATGTTCATCTGCTTCATAATGACAGCAATAATGGAAATGTGAATTTCCTTACGTGAAATAAGGAAAAAAGTTTATTCAAGGGTCTACTTCGGAAAGTACAGCCATAATGCACTTTCTTCTGGGGATTTAATAGAATTTCCTCTCAGAGAAATTGGATGGTTAACAAGTAATTTTTTTAAATTTGAAGACTATATGATCCAGAAGAGTTTCCTGCCATGAGAGAGGGCTCATGGGGTAAAGGTACAGGGCAGTCTCCTGGTATTGGAGAAGGGACGGGATGGGAAAACTCAATGGCAGAATTTGCCCTGCTGGCAACCTGTCAGGGCCCCTCCTGCTCTGCCCAGCTTTTGTGGGGGGATGGAAACAACTGCCCCAGTTTGAATTCAGGACCTAAAAGTCAGAGCACAACCCTAAATCCCTCCCCAAGATCCAACTGGGCTGCAGTGCTCTCCTCATTTGGTGAAGGGTGCCATAAGCAGGACACCTTTATGTGATTTCCCTGGACAAGAAGAGCAGAAAGAATTCAAGCTGGGGGAATTTCATGGCAGGCTGGAGCAGATCCCTGAGTCAAGACAAGCCCAGAGGGAACAACAGGAAAACCCCAGTGCCTGCAAGGCACAGGACAAAGGAGCTCACTGAACTTCCTGGAAGGACCTCAAAACCTAAAGTGAAAAGGGAACAGCTACAATTTTCTTGGGAATTTGGGAGACAGAGGGAGGTAGCACCAGAGTATGTGGATGTGAGTTCACACCGTGGTGAAAATCCCCTCTTGGGCCTGCAAGTCCATCTGATGTTCTTCAGGTGCTGATGGTGCACAAGGCAAAGCAGGATCCTCCTGGCACTGCAGACCAACCAGAGTCATGGAATCCAGGAATGGCTGTGGTTGGAAGAGACCTCAAAGCCCATCCATTTCTACCCCTTGCCATGGGTAAGGACACCTCCCACTATCCCAGGTTGCTCCAAGCCCCATGGAGCAACCTGGCCTGGAACATTTCCTGGATGGGACAGCCACAGCTTCTCTGGGCAATCTTTGCCAGGGCCTCACCACCCTCACAGTAAAAAATTTCTTCCTTACATTGAGTCTAAAACTCCCCTCTTTTAGTTCTAAACCACTACCCCTCATCATCCCACGGCTCAGCTGTAGGTGAAGTCCATCAGCTCCAAGACATGATGCAAAGTGTCCCTCTTACTTAAAATCCAGGCTCTCTCAGCTCTGCCTCTTGTCCCTTTCTAAGGCTGGAAATGAAGATTTAGGGCACGCAGGAATATTTCCTGTGGCAGGGCAGCAAGGGGGTTAAACAAGACATGGAGAAACCCTTGTTTAAACTGAAGAGGTGTGAAATTGTTCCCTGTGGGAAACGTGGCAAAGGACCCAGCATGTCCCTGTGTTCCTGTCTGTCAAACAGAACTGCGCTGCAACTTTCCAAGGAGAACATTTTGACATGAGCTCAGGCAGGAGGCAGGGTTGGAAGGGAGGATGGCTCCCATCCCATATCCTTGAGCTACAGGGAAGGAAAGGCTCCATTCAATTCCACAGTATCCTGAAGGACGTGACCAACTTTGAAAGCCATGAGTCATCCGACGGGAGCCAGGCAGGAGGAAAACTCCTGCAATTCAAGCTGGAATTGTGCTCAAGTGCTTCAAGAGCTGGGGCCTGAGAAAACAGGCTGGCAGGTGCAATTTTCCCCCTGGAGAAATTATAAATCTCCTCTTGTTGATTTATTTTAAGGGGAAGAAAGATTTCTGCTCCATAAGGTTTTTTTTTTCTCTAAAGAACTCCCTGGGCTAGTCCTTGTCTTGATGTGAGGAGCAGTCAAGGAGAAAGACAGAGGATCTGCAGCAGTAAAAATCTGCAGAATTTAGGGGATTCTGAAAGAGAACAAGAACAACCAGGAGATTAAAAAAAAATACATCCAGTGGGTGTCTTCCAGCTTAGCAACATAAGTTGGCCAGGGGAGGTGAGCCAGATGCATGCCCGGACTCCCCAAAACCCATTTCCTGAGCAAACCTCTCCCAAATTTCAGCTTAATCAGGCATCTGGTGGCTCAGCAAAGAAGAGCCCAGTTCCCAATGGCAGGAGCTGCTTCTTTCTGGAAAAGCACTTGGGAAGGACCAGAAGGAAGTGTGACACTTCTGATTTTCTTCACATCAGGGTTTTGTCTGACAGCACCTCTCTGTTCACTCTTCCCACGTGCAGGACTTTTGAGGGAGACACAGTGAAGTTCCTTGGGAAAGCTTCAGCTGGCAAACTGCTTAAAAGCTATCTGATGTTCATGTTTAAAGTTGTAATGCTTTAAGTTTTATAAAAGCAGCAACCAGGGCTTTCCCAGGGAATTAATTGCACAACTTCCAGTGGCATTTCAAAGAACAATTCAGGAAATAAACTCCTGGTTTCCAGCATCATTTACAGACAAGAGAAAAGCACTTTCCCCCACCCATAATTCAGATTTATCCCAAAAAGGTGTTTGTTGTCTAAATAGAGACTGTTTTAATTGGTGCCCAATTTACCTTGAAGCAGGTGTCCCTGGAAGCATCCAGGACTAACCTGGAAGATCTCATCAGCAAAACAGTCATCTGAGGCCAGACACTTCACACAGCAGCACCAAGGGCTGATGAGCCTTTTATGTAAGTGGAAATTTAAGTTTGAAAAAGCTTTAACTCCCTTTTTAATTTTACTCACATGGAAAAACAAGGAGGAAGCACTTCCACAGCCACATTCCAGCTCAGCTCTGCCCCTAAATTCACCTGCACAGGGATGGGTGCCCTGCTGATGGATTTTACCTCTGCATTTGGAGCCCTAGGTGGGTGAAAGAAAGGAATCCTCATGTCACAGGTCCCGTGCAAATCCTCAGGTCTTGGGAAAACTACAAATGCACAAAAGGTACTAAAGAACTCCATGTCACACTAGCACTTCAGTAATCCTGGGATAATTAACTGGGCTTGCAGGGTGAGTTGTGTCACCATCAAGGAGAGCTTGAAATTGCCCCCAGGATCTCGAGGGACTGAGGGGCTTTTCTATGTAAAGTGGAGGAACAAGTCTAGAATTTAGGGCTGGGAAGAGCTTTTTGTATCCAAAAGCTCTTGGTAAAGAAATCACTAAGTGAATCCCACCATGAAATCACCATGTGAGGACCAGGAAGGAGATGCCCTTTGACATGGAAGTCACTTGCGTGAAGAAAAGAGCAAGGAAGAACAAATACCTACCTGTGTTCATCATCAGGGCACCAGAATCTCAGAGCCTGTAGCCAACCCTACTCAATGCAGAATATCTTTTCCCTCCCTTCCCACTTAAAATAGCACCCCAGACCCTCAGGGATACAAAACATAAAGAAGCATCTCCCCTCAGGACACAGAGCAGAGACCACCTCCCTCCAGGAGGGATCCACCCAGCACTAAGAATATTCTCAGCCTTCCAGAGACCCTTTTAAAGCTCATCAGGCTCTTGGTGAGCTCCTCCACCTGTGCCAAGGAGGATCAGCTGCACCCTGCATCCTCCGTCACACCCTTTGCTCTGTCCACACCACGTTCCCTTAAAGGGAGCCTACAAAAAATCTGGTGAGGAACTTTGGACCAGGGTTGCAGGACAAGGGTTTCCTTCTGCCAGGGCAGGTTAGATGGGATATTGGGAAGAAGTTCTCCCTTGTGAGGGTGGTGAAGCCCTGACACAGGGTGCCCAGAGAAGCTGTGGCTGCCCCTGGAGGTGCTCCAGGCCAGGTTGGGCAGGGCTTAGAGCACTCTGGGATAGTGGGAGGTGTCCCTGCCCATGGCAGGGTGTGTGACTAGATGAGCTTTAAGGTCCCTTCAAACTCAAAGAATCTGATGATTCAATGATTCGCTGTAATGCAAATCTTTGCTTCCTCCTAAGGCATAAAATAGGTGTTTTCCAAAGGGTTTGGGTCTGCAGGATTGGTGAATGAGGGGCTCAGGCATTCCTTCCAAGCCTGCTTCTATTCCTGCTAAATGTTGCATTGAATCTCTTGCTGAAGTGGGACTGGGATTTTGTTTCTTTAGATCATCCACAGGATTTGGCTTCTTTAGGCTGCTTTGACATCCTCCTGATGGCTGCATGGATTTCACATTGCCCCAGGTCCCAGGGACTCCCCGTGCCCACAGCCATCACAGCCACTCCACTTCCACCTCCACGGGGCTCTGGGAACCCATTCCAGGTGCAGCCCTGACTCTTTTTGTTTTCTCCCCACCTGGATTCACCAGAGGCAGGTGCAGGCGCTCAGGGTTGGTTTTTCTGGAGGTGACTCCCATTGTTCCTTCCCCCCCTTGCACAGCTGGGCCGAATGCATGGAAGGTCAGTGAGAAATGAAGCTGCTTTTATCTGCCATCTCCCACCAGCCCTAAGCTGGGTCCCCTTTTTCACACTGAGGCCTAGCCAAGCATGAAGGAAAATAATTTTACCCAATCTCTCTGCTCTAACGCGCACCAACCCCCCGCCCTCCTCTTTTCCACAACTCCCCACCAATCTAAAAGGGAAAGAATTAGAAAAAAAAAAAAGCCCTTTCCACAATGAAAGCACAGCCAGATAGAAATCTTGGTGAGGCACCACTCTAAATGTGACTGCAGCTTTCAGCCTGTCCTCACTCAAATATCGCCAGCCCCACTGTTTACTCTCCTGCTATAAAAATAATAATAATAATAAAAAATAGTAACCTGGTGATTACTCATGTTCCACATAATTGCAACAGGCAGAGGAGAGAGGAGTGATTAAATTGCCTTGTGAATTATGCATTATTTCCCTGGCTCCTTCCTCCCCCTCAGCCCAGCTCCCAGCACACTTCTCCAGAGCTTTATTATGTATATTTGTGGGATATTGTCACCTGTCCTGGCTGTGCTGGAGAGCTGCTGTGGGTGGGTATCAGTGGAGGCTTGGTGTTTAATCCGCTATGAGCGCTCTGGGTTTGTTTTCCGCGGTCGCCAGAGGAGCAGGAGGAGCAAACTCACCAAGCCAAGGCTGGGAGCTGGCCCGTGTAATTCCCAGCTGCAGGATTTAGGGAGTCACACAAAACTTGCACAAATGAGACAAAGGCACTCCAGGCACAGCAAGGAGGCTGCTCCTCAGGCTGGAAAATCCTGAGTGGAAGAGTTCCTTCAGCTCAGCCAAACATCAAACGCATGCTCGTGTTTCCCTGTGGGAGCATCCCCGTGCTCCAGTTAACAATCCACAGGCCCGATGCCCTGGGCAGCGGTGTTTTCCTCAAATCAGGGCATAAACAACTCCACAGTGTTCAAAAAACAAGTGGATGTGGCATCATAATTAAGTGGGCATGGTGCTACCTGGTCAAAGGTGATGATCTGGAGGGGTTTTCCAGCCTTAATGGTTCTGTGATGGTGTTTGGGCACATTCCTACATTTGTGTCCCAGCAGATACAGTTCAGACTGGTGAAATTCATATCCCTGTCCAGGTGTGCCTTTTTTGGTTGGTGATGGAGGACATGGAACTCTTGGAGCAAGTCCAGAGAAGGGCCATGAAATTGCTGAGGGGACTGGAGCACTTCCACCATGGAGTCAGGCTGGGAGAGCTGGGATTGTTCAGCCTGGGGAAGAGAAGGTTGTATGGAGGCCTCACAGCAGCTTCCAGGGTCTGAAGAGGCTACTGGGAAGCCAGAGGGGGACTTTTCATCAGGAACTGGAGTGACAGGACAAGGGGGAATGGGTTCCAGCTGAAAGATTTAGGTGAGATACATGGAAGAAATTCCTTGCTGTAGGGGTGGAGAGGCCCTGGCACAGGGTGCCCAGAGAAGCTGTGGCTGCCCCTGGATCCCTGGAAGTGTTCCAGGCCAAGCTGGATGGGGCTTGGAGCAACCTGGAATAGTGGAAGGTGTCCCTGCCTATGAGAGGGGGTGGAATGAGATGGGCACTAAGGTCACTCTCTCAACCCAAACCATTCTGTGATTCCATGATTCTGTGCTCCAGACCAAGCTGCAGAAGGGGTCTGGAGAATGAGCACCATCCCTTTGGAGAGGCACAAGGACACCAGGCACCAACACTCTGTCAGCTGATGTTCCACTGGTGATCTTCCATCCAGGAATGCCTTCACCCACTCCGTGTCCATCACTGGAGACCCCGAGTCACCAAAGGACTGAAACATGTCCTTTCTCCCCAGCTTCTGCACAGCTGCTCCCAGGCTCCAGAGTCAAGGTGGGTTGTCATGAGTCCATGATTCCCTGACCCAGGTAGTCAAAACAAGTGGTCAGATCCCTTCCTGGGGTCCCTCAATCAGCAGAAACACAGCCCATAGGGCAGCACCAGCTCTCCAATCCACTGGGACAGCATCTCCTGCCACCTGACTGCTGGGGCTCCCAGGAAAGGGGGATTCAGCCTCCAGAGAAGCCTTCAACAGGAAAACAGGATATCCCTCTCGTTTTGATCCCTGGTGTTACCTACAGAATTATGTGACAGAGAGCTGCTGGAGCAAAATCCATCCCCCTGCAATAATCCTGTGGCTACGGGTCCCAGCAGCCTCTCCTAATGATGCTCTGGGGACTGTGGTGCTTCCCAGACATCTCCTTGTTCCGCCCAAGAAGAGACTGGAGGGACGAGGTGTGGAAAGCACAAATGAACCCCTCCTCTAGATCTTCCTAAGGAGATTTTAGGAGAGATCACCTACTAAGGAGGGGCTGGATACAAATTTTCAGGATCTAAAAGCTGATTAAAAGCTCAGATAAGGTCAGCTTTTCCCAAAAGCTGCTTTTGAAAAGCCCTCTGCTTCCCTCTTTTCCTTCCTCACCATCCAAAATCCCTCTCTGCCTTCCTGAAGGTGAAAGGAGCTGAGCCACGGAGGGCTGCCAGCGAGGGAGCTCCCCGTGCTGGGCTGCTGGGTGGATTTGTTCCCTCTGTTTTGTGCCTGGGTGGATTTGTTCCCTCTGTTTTGTGCCTGGACGTGCAGCGCAGACAACGGGCATTGAGTGCCCCGGGCCCTGGGGACAGCACTGTCCTTGCTCTGCCATCAGGTGCACACAAAGCCAGGAGCCTCTGCAGGAGGAGAGCTCTGCAGAGCTGAAAGGCGATTAGCATATTCCAGGGGGAACTTTTTTGCTCAAAATGAGAATAAACAGAACTGAAGGATTACAAAACCAAACATGGAACATTACATGGAGCAATAATTGCCTCCTATTATTTCCCTGCACTCACCAAAACAGCTATTTAGACAAACAAAAGAGCAAAGAAAGGCAGAGACCAGTGCTGAAAGTTGTTTTATCTCTACTAATCCCCATTGCTTTGATAAGTCTGTAATAGGATCATTTGGCATCTCCAAAGTGCAGCATCTCAGGAAATTTCTCTGTGCAGGCAGGTTGTGCTCAGGTGTCTGCTCCCAGCTCCCAGCCATGGGGTAGCACAGAGTCTGTCAGGCTCTGGACACACCGTGGAGGGGGAAAAAAATCCCCCTCCATTTTTGTGCATGGATACAGGGTACTTCCTGCACCTTCTTTAGCTGGGACTGCTTCCAAAGATTATTTTATTATTGTTTTGTTAGACTTGGTTTTGTATTTCATTACCAGGCAGCACAGGGCAGAGGTGAAATTGCCATCCCTGGAAGGGATCAAAAGTCTTGTGGATGTGACACTTGGGGACATGGGTTAATGGTCAATACCAGTCCTGGGGAATGCTTGCACTCAGTGGGTCCAGCCCAACCTTAACAATTCCCTGATTCTCTTCTTATCATGTTAATCATAGTTAACATGGGTGGTCCTTGTTCCAGTTTGGGTGCATTTGCCCATATCTAAAGTAGCCCATTCCACAAATGCTGTCAGCCACTGGATTGCCACAGAAGTTGGGATCAAGGAGTGTGCCAGGCACCAGGGTGTGCTACTCCATCCCAGATGCTGGAAACAGCAAATATCAACATTTGTCCTGAGTCCATAAGAAGCTTTTCTCTGTTTTTGATATTTTTTAGGCCTTACAGTGTCCTTTCCCTCTCCACATTTTGTTGTTTTGTACCTAAGACACTCATACACTCCATTTTTTATGTGTTCCAGGAGCTGTGAATTCCATGCTGGTTCCCAGCCATGCTCCTTCCCATCTCCTCCCAGCAAGGACCATGTTGTCATCACTGGTGGCAATGTCCCCATGTCCCATCTGCTCCCAACCCACATGGCACAAGTAAGAAACTAATTCTCCTCCAAAACAAGCCCCACAGTAAAAGATGTGGTCTAAACTGGTGAGGACATCAAATGCATGGTCTTGGTTTTATTTACATGACTGAGCCAAGAAGATAAATTCCTCAAGGCAAATCCATGTCATTTGTGTCCAGCTTCATCCCCAAATTAGTTCTGTTATTATGCAGTGCTAGAAATTTGCCTTTGCCTGGAATTTATCCCCACTCTCTCATTTTTTCTTTGTTATTTAATATTTCTATGTGGAAGAAAAAC